TTTTTGGTTCGAAACTGATGTAAGATCTCTTCTTTAATTGGTTACATGTGGTTTCCAACATTTTCAACCTCTAGTTGTTGTTATGGTCATATGTCCTCACAGTTTTTCTTACATATGATAACTGTTGTAACATATCTACTGTATGGATGGTTGGTACCTTTGCCTAAAACGAAAGAGAAAATGCATCAACTAGTCACAAAGCTAAATCCCATTAAAACTGTGGACCTAAAAGACAAGATTAAATCTTGACAATCCTTTTGAACTAAGTCATGAGAAATTTATCCCTCATATCCAAGTCTTGACATGAATGACCCGCTTTTGATCGAATCGAGCAGATAATTAGATGAGATACACGTAAATTTGTCTGAACACTCCTGACCATTGAACCAAAAACAAAAAAGAGACGAGATTGAAGCGGTGGTTCAGTGGTGTGATATGTCTAAGGTTACTGTAGATATATAACTAGTCAATCAGACCTAACTAAGATATGAATGTTTCATTTGTTGGTACTCTATGGTTGAAGAGTAATAACTCATATGCAATCACGAGAGACCGCATATATAAACAGAAGATAAAAAAAAATGGGGCAGAGCATGGGATGCATATGGATCATGTACTGGCTCATATTGAATGCCTTGCTAGGCTGATTAAATTTTCACACCAAACTTTATTAGTAAATGATGTGACACATGCACCCGCATCCAACAAAAACTAAAAATCAATGAGTCATTTTTGTTAATTTCAATTACTCATTTCATCAAATTTCAAAAGGGTATTTTTTAATGGAATAAGCAACGAAAACTAACATAAAAGTTACATTATAATTTTTTTAATACAACGAGGGTAAAATATGTGAGGAATTTAATTTTTGAAAATTTTAAAATAAAAAATCTTAAATTTCCTCTAATATATTATCTTCTTTATTTTTTTAATAGATCCCTTATCACATATTTAAATAAAATTCATTATCTATAAAATGGATCATAATATAATAGGTGAATTGTACTTTGCACCACAAAGACTTAAGAATTCTTACTTTGCATATTTAAAAATAAATTTTCTCACATTACATTTTCAATATATTAAAAACGTTATCATATTACCCTTCTGTTAATTTTCATCACTCTTTTCATTAACTTCAAAAGGGGTGAGTTTTAACGGAATAAGTGATGAAAGATAACAAAAGGGTGATATTGGAATATTTTTTTAATATATTGAGAGTATAATATAAAAAATTTTATTTTTAAGAGTCCAAAGTGAGAAATCTTAAATCCTTTGGGGGTGCAAAATGAGATTCCCCATAATCCGAGAATTGAAGAGAAAAATGTTTTCCACAAGCCCCTTTAATATAACTACTGTTAAATGCATTATCGTTAGATAAGAACATAAGCAACTTCTATTGCGTCCTCTGGAAGATTCCCTCGGCTAACCTCTCAGCACGCATTTCTGGTCGTCTTCTCCTGATCAAAAACAGAGGTGCGTAAACTATTCATCGTATCTTGATTCTTCGTCTTTTCCAATTAATTTGTTTATTTGCTTGTTTAGTATTTCCAGTCTGTGAAAGTTTGGTTAATTCTGTCTGAAGATCGATGTTAATTTCAATTTTGATTGATGTCCGTTTGATTATGGGCATGATTTATTTATCTAACGGTTCTAATCATGGATTACTTCCTGAGAGTTAAGGTCGAGATTTGTGGTTGTGGAAAATTCAATTTATTATTGTTTTATTTGCATAATTGAGAAATTGATGGTTGGAACCCTAGATCACTGACTGAGACGCTACCAGTATGTGTGGTTGCATGAAATTTGATTTATTTTCGGTTTTGATTGGCTGTCGGGGGTATTATGTGTCTTGGAATCACCAGAGCGCCCACTTTTTCAATAATTAGTGAATTCTTGGCAATTTAGTGGCCTTACGTGAATTCAACTGTGCTCGGTTGTTTTAATTCAAGCGATGATTACTCCAGCGGTTTAATTGAATGATTTTTGCAATTTTTGCCTCTCTGAACACTTAAGATGTCTGAATTATCATTCAGATTTCAAGGGTGCCACTATACCTCGGGTTTGTGTTTGTATAACCTGAAGAACTTCTTTAAATAAAATGTGTCGGTGAACCAGGAAGGAACCTGCCCATCAGGAACATTTCAATTGATTGTTGACCTGTTATTGGGCCATGATTGCGTAATTATACTGGGTTACCAAATTTGAATCTAGAATTAGGGATTTATATTGAGAGGTATAAAGCAGAGCGTTCCTGCCAGATCATGCATTAGTCTTAGCTATTTTGATAAAACTATGCCTAGAAGCAAATGTTCAATAGGTGGGGATGCCATGATGGGTATTAGGAAGGGGCGGAGCCAAAAAAATTCTTAAAGGTGGACACCTTAATTTTTTTATTGATAACAATAAAATAAAATATTGATATTTATAACATTAAATTGTATTAGTTGTATATGACTATTTACCTACAGTAATAGTCCAAAAGTCTACAAAGCACAAACTAAAAGATCAAAAAAAAAAATAAAGGCTAATTCCAACTCTTTAAAAATGTGAGGGCAATTACAATTTATTCAATTGACCAGATGAGTTTTTATAATTCTAGAGCATTACATGGTAAACTCATTATCAGTGACATAGAAAGAGAATTACATAAGGGTGGGCCTAGGCCCCCTGGCCCCTTAGTAGATCTGCTAGGGGTATTAGGCCTGCCTATCTTTTTGGAGATTAAGTAGTTATGATAATGGATCCCATAATAGTTGTAAGTTGTAACGACATCCTGTTACTTTGTTCTAAGTTCAATATATTATGAGGTATAGATCAAATGGATTTTTGATGGATCTAAGATACATTGGCTTTATTATTATCTACACAAAGAAGTGGCATCAAGTTCTATTGGTTTATTATGCGCAATTGACTTCAGGTATCCGTCAACCAGATTTAGAGATATGACTCAAGATGGATATGTAGCAGAAGTTACAAGCCTGTCCCCGAACGCAACAGAGAAGGACGTCTATGATTTTTTTGCTTTCTGTGGGACGATTGAACATGTTGACATTGTCAGGTTCAGAACAGATAATATGATCATATTACTTAGTGTGCGCCTCTGTTGAATTTTTTATTTGACTCATTTATAATCCCTTTGTGATCTGGTGATCATTTTTAGTTTCTTTCAGCCCCTTATTGTTATTGCATCTCTAGTTTGATCAGACTAGAACATGTACGTAAAATGATACATAGTAAATCAAAAATCCAACTTTTCAGGTATCTGAAATATATTTATTGGCTCAGAATATTAAATCCACCAGCAATTACTGTTCAATAGCTTCAATGGTTATTTTATTTTAAGGACTCTTAATTTTTACATCTCCTCCCCCCTCTCTTTTCCTTTTGCTGGGTGATATAAATTTATTGAAAACAGAACTTATAAAACAGGGGAAGCCAGCCTACTAGATTCGTGGAGGATAAACCCAAGGGTTTACTTTTGAGATTAGAATTTACAAGTAGAACATTCACCTAAATAACATACACGCAGGTGATAAAATCTGCTTTTGACATTTGATGCACTCATATTACACGTCAGCACCTACACCTATTGTGTAGGTGTACCACTATTCATTGATCTTCTATCCTACAACTCTGAAATATTTGTTTGATCATATGATTATTTGTTATTTTCTCTATGGATCTTGTATGGTTATCTTTTCTTCAGAGCAACTACTAAAGTTTCCATTTCAGTAGCAGCATGGCACATAACTCTCTACAAGTTTGTGTCATAATATTTCATGTAGTAGATNGCTAAAACATGTACGTAAAATGATACATAGTAAATCAAAAATCCAACTTTTCAGGTATCTGAAATATATTTATTGGCTCAGAATATTAAATCCACCAGCAATTACTGTTCAATAGCTTCAATGGTTATTTTATTTTAAGGACTCTTAATTTTTACATCTCCTCCCCCCTCTCTTTTCCTTTTGCTGGGTGATATAAATTTATTGAAAACAGAACTTATAAAACAGGGGAAGCCAGCCTACTAGATTCGTGGAGGATAAACCCAAGGGTTTACTTTTGAGATTAGAATTTACAAGTAGAACATTCACCTAAATAACATACACGCAGGTGATAAAATCTGCTTTTGACATTTGATGCACTCATATTACACGTCAGCACCTACACCTATTGTGTAGGTGTACCACTATTCATTGATCTTCTATCCTACAACTCTGAAATATTTGTTTGATCATATGATTATTTGTTATTTTCTCTATGGATCTTGTATGGTTATCTTTTCTTCAGAGCAACTACTAAAGTTTCCATTTCAGTAGCAGCATGGCACATAACTCTCTACAAGTTTGTGTCATAATATTTCATGTAGTAGATTAATGCATTGATATAATTTGCTTCAGGTCTAGTGATAAAATAAGTGGAAATTTTAGAAGGTTCTAGATGACACGTGTGAAATTTTTGAACGCAAGTAAATCGAAATGCGTATAATTGAATTTGATGCTCGAGTTATTTTTGAATCAAAAACTGAAAATAGTCAATATTTTACTTCTTGAAAATGGGCAAACCCTTCTTAGAAAGGCGGACTAACACTTTAAACTTCTAAAAATGTCTATAAGATTTTCGGGTATGTGTATGCTGACTAACAATTTAAACTTCTAAAAGTGTCTATAAGCTTTTAGAAACTTTTAGAAATGCTAACCAACACTTCAAGCTTCTAAAAATGTCTATAAGATTTTTGGGTATGAATATGACTAAGTTTCTAAAAAATGTCTATTAGATTTTCGGGTACGCATATGTAGACTAAAACTTTAAGTTTCGAAAAATGTCTATAAGATTTTCGGGTACGAATATGACATTGATATCGATACAGCGGAGAAATTTGTTAGAGGATATATGATTACTGATTTACATGTTTCAAGATGCATATTAAAAATAAAGGAGAACTATCAACTTGTCATGAGAAAAAGATCAATTGGACTCTAGTGAGGTATGAACTACTGTCTGTTTTAAATGATGCCATGTAATGTTGATGAATAAAAATTACTAATTGATTGAGGCGTACCTCTAATCACTCTTGCGGCATATTCTCCATAAAATGCTTTGATTATACGATATCATAGAGTAATTCCACTTTTCCAGATTTAGAGTGATATTTATGATTTTGATAACAGAGCTGGTGAATATGCATGTACGGCTTATGTGACATTTGGAGATGCTTATGCTCTGGAAACAGCAGTCTTGCTCAGTGTAAGTATTGTTTTGATATTCTTTTCCTAGTTTGGCCTGTGGGTAATTGCAACTTTTTCCAGGAATATATGGTGTAGTATTCTTAATCTGTTGCCTATAATTGTTATCATGAAGCATATTCCTAAATCTGGTGGTCAAACCCTGTGATTTTGAGCTGACAGTGTTCATTTGATACTATGTTTCCTCCCTCTCTCTCTATCTCTCTCTCTCATTACTATTTGTTTTCTTAGTTGTATGCTAGAGCTCAAACAGGCACACGATAACAAGCAGCCAAATGAAAACCTGTATTTTTCTATGGATTCTATAGCTGATTTACACATTTTTTTTCAAATTTTTTAGGTATCCAATCCACAACAATTCCTCTGGTGATTAGTTAACTTTGTTGGTTGACATTGTACAAAGATTTTCTTTCCTAGTTTTGTTACATCATTTATCCACAAGGTCGATTATAATGCGAGGTCTGGAGATTCCTGGCCCCTGTTTTGGGTACTGTTGGCTATTTGCTTCTGGTTTGATGTCCAAGTATCATTTGGTTCTACTAATTTGGGTAGCTAGGCGAAAGTGCTTCTGATGCTTTTCATGCTTCACAAAGCTTACTTGGTTTTCATGTTCCTTTGTTGTTTTGGTGGGTTTGCTGGGTTGGGTCAGTCCCAGATTTTTGTCTGTGTGTTTTGTTTGGGTTTGTCCCTTGCTCATTGTACAATGCCGTTCTCTTAAGAGTAAAAGCAAGCTTACCTGAAAAAAAAATACAGATTTGCCTATGTATCATAAACTTTAAGCGCAGAATAGGAACATTTACCTATTCTGAACAATGCTTTGCTCTGATTTAATCTTGATATGACCCTTGAGTGCCTGTGTCATATCACTTGCGTTCAAATGCATCTATGCTAATTTATTCACACATTGATTCCTCTGGAAAAAAAAAGGTTTATGGCTTTTCAGTTTCTTTTTGTCCTTTCTCAATGTACATGTAAGGTCCAAAGTTTGCTTTCTTAAAGTTGCTCTTTATCTCAGGGATCTACCATTTTGGATCAACGTATATGCATAACACGCTGGGGACAATATGAGGATGAATTTGATCTTTGGAATCGGTCTTCGTGGAGGCATGAAGAAGAAAGTGAATCAACTGTATGCATCTTTAATTTCTTTCATTTCTACCAGTATTGTGATCAATATTTATTGTCTCAACTTCTTATGTTTTTTAATCTTAGCAGCCCCCTCAAGGACGCCAATTTGTTCCTTCTGCTGGAGAAGCAGTGACAATGGCTCAAGATGTTGTCAAAACAATGATATCCAAAGGATATGTACTTGGCAAAGACGCTCTGAGCAAAGCCAAAGCTTTTGATGAATCTCACCAAGTTTCGGCCACTGCTGCAGGCAAGGTTGCTGAGATGAGCGAGAGAATTGGTCTCACTGATAAGATTTGTGCAGGGGTTGTAGCCGTGAAATCTGTAGATGAAAGGTACCACATTTCAGATGTTACCAGATTAGCTGTATCAGCCACGGGAAGAACAGCTGCTGCAGCTGCAAACACTGTTGTCAACAGTAGTTACTTTTCGACGGGAGCTCTTTGGATGTCGGATGCTTTAAGTCGAGCAGCTAGGGCTGCAGCTGATTTGGGTAGTCGTGGTATCGAAAAATGAAGTGTCAAGTAACTCAAATAGTAGTTACTGGTTTTGTATAGAAACACTCTACAGTTACTATAGTTTATCTGTGTATGTACATATTTGGCATACATTAAACGTGCATGTTGTATACCAGGTGCTCTTACATTTGAACTTTATATATGTCAAGGGCGATCCATAGGGGAGGTGTGGCCATTTAGGTTGTAATAACTCCAATATATTTGGAACGTTTAATGGAGTATGTTGTGAGCTGTCTCAGATTCAGTCGTGATTTGTTGTGACCATGAACCCATTTTAGGGTATGATTTATAGCCATCAATAGAGCACAATAGCAGGATATGACTCATATAGTTGAATCTGAGTTATGATGTGTTTATGCCGGGAAGGGCTCAGTTGTGCCATGAAGGATGATGAACTGTGGATNTGAGTTATGATGTGTTTATGCCGGGAAGGGCTCAGTTGTGCCATGAAGGATGATGAACTGTGGATGATATGTTATGCTGTGACCAATCTATTCTGAGATGGCTGACTGAGCCTTCTAATTCTCATTTGTGCATGATCCTTAGTAGGTCATCTTTGCTTGGAGTAACATAGCTACGGATTCGTGTATATGAATTTAGATATAATGCTCGTACTTATATATATATACTAGGGGTAACTAAATCAATTTCATGAATGATCATGGCTCTCCTTTTTTTGTTTTGTCGACTATTCCTGGAGTTTGGTGGTTGATCATTTTGGTTTGAGTTAAGTTAGAGCATGTACTTAAAAAGATAAGAGTGATTAGTTCTTAGACGGTATAAAAAATGATTGAATCTGAGATTTTTAGATTACTAAAAATTAAATTTAACCATCAAACCATCCCTAAAAATAAATTTAATGGTCATGACTCTTGAATCTAATCAAATCATTAAGAATTCAGAGTCTTACTCTATGGTTACAATTGTGCTGTCATAAAAATGACCTTTTTTATGTAAGAAATTCCCGGGAAAGAACCTGTACGCTTGAGTTTGGATCGTGTCATTTTATTATGGTGGGTGTGATGTGTACTCTAACTTGACTTCCAAAAATCCGGCGTCTGTGGCCTCAAGCTTGCGGTTTCATTTGGGGAAAGCCACGTCCAACTCCACGTCCCACGGTCCTGATCTAAGCATTGCGTTGATTTTCCATATGCGACCAGTTAATGCACCTGTGATCACGCGGTGGACTAGAATTGTTTTCCAGTGCTATTTTGACAGTTTTCTCCAGTGGACCCTTTTAGTTGATGACCAACAATGTATACCATGTCATTTTTATCACATAATTTTATTAATTAATAATAAATAAATACGTGGAAGAAGAGTATCCTATTAATAGTTATTGATAATTATAAATTTTATTAGAATTTATTAATATAATATTTTTTTTAATAAATTAATGAGATCATGTGACAGTAACGACTTAATACAAATGTTTTTGTTGCTATTGTAGGAATTCCAAGACTTTTCTTTGAAATTATAAATTTGGAGTTCAAAGATTTCCAAATGGAATATCAAATATTACATTTTAACCCTCTAAATTGTGCTCTTAGTTTCATTATACTTTCCGAATAATCCATTCTCTCAAGTTTCACCTCAAACCATTGGATTGAGTCCCATGTTGTCCCAATTTCTTACATTTATCCAGTTTTTCAAGGCAAAGCAAGACAAAAATAATAATTTAGGGATGGGGAGACACCCCCCTTGTGCCCTCCATTACAAAAGATGGTATGCAAGTCTTCGTCAAAGTAATACTCTATTCATTTGCGTTAAGCGCACTTCTATTTTAGGGTCTTCTAGTTAAAAAAGATAATGATTTTTCCCTAAATTTTTTCAAAAAGGTGGGTGTTGAGCTTTTTCTGCGCATTGTTAATAAATGTGGTCTTTCACTCTTAGATATAATTTTGTTTAGACCATGATTTACAAAGAAAAAACGATTAAATTTTAACAATTGGAGTAATACGAAAAACTTAAATAAATAATTTAAGGCATAAAATGAAAAAACACTAGTATCTTAGTGGATAATAGAAAACAGGGGCAGCCGGTGTTTTAGTGTTATTTTTCTTTGAAAATTTTTCATATTACCCGCTAAAAGATATAAAAAATTTTAATTTATCCCTCAAATGATTAATTTTTTTATATTGTCTTTTTAAAAAAAAATAAAAATGTTACAATGTAGTTTAACATCTTATTTTTTGTCTAGTTGTTTGTCTGTTTTGTGATTCTTGATTAGTTGATTTGGTAAAAAACAGAAAAACAACCAAACAGTATAAAACAGTGACACACATTGTAATATTTTTATTTCTTTGAGAGACTATGTATAAAAATTAATCATTTGGGGGTAAATTGAAATTTGTTGTATCTTTTAGGGGGTAAAATGGGATTTGCCCTTACAAACGCAGCGCGCTTCATGCTGCTGCGCCGTACAATTACAGAACAAAATCTGAGAAACTCATTTCATCCCTCGCCAAACACAACCGCCCAATTCCGATCTGATTTCTCTCTCTCTCTCCATCAAATCTTGGAACCCTATGATCAAGATCAACATCAGTATCTGAAATTCCATGCAATTGAGTTGGTGATTTGGGATTAATATATTAATTTCAATTGGTGGGGAAGATGGATGCGGTATCGATCCGAGTGCCGTACAAGAATTTGAAGCAGGAAGTGGAATTGGTAGGTGTTGAAGAAGCACATAATCGGATCGAGATCGGTAGTTCTAGGCTTTCTAACGGGAGTGTCTCCAGTATGACGCCGGATTCTACCCCACCTCAGCATTCACCAAAAGATATTAGTATGGTTGTGTTGATTTTGAGTTGTACGGTCGCCGCCGGTGTTCAGTTCGGTTGGGCCTTGCAACTGTCGCTTCTCACTCCTTACATTCAGGTTCTTGCTTCCCTGTCTCTCTCTCGCTATTTATTTCTGTCTACATCAACATGAACATGACTCCCTATGTGTGTGCAAATTGACATACATTATTGGTGGATATGCTGTTGTAGGGAGTATTACACTTTGTTCTCTTCAATATTCTGGGTTGGATCTGTGCATAGGAAGGAATACTTGTAGGTACTGCTGTGTTAACTGTTTGATTTTACATGTCATACTGTTAAAATTGTGGATTTGGAGGGATAGAGACGAACATTGACATTTGGGAGAGGTTTTGGCAAGAATACTACTTTATGATTATTGGTAAAAACCTTGATTCAAATGCAATCGAATGTCAATGTCTTTTATTAGTGATTGGGTATGTTAAGGGAATGGATATATATTTCCATCATGTCGTTTAGAGTCTCTCACTTTCCTTTGCAGGTTACATATCTGTGCTTTTGGAAATGATGTAATTTTGATAGCCATGCTATGGGATAGTTTCTAGGTCAAATTTAAAGTCAAGTCAGTTCAAGTTTTCCCAGCCCGATAGATTCTGAAGCTTACTCCACTTGTGTCATGCCTGGAGAGAGGATGATGTTGGTGGGTAGACGACCAGGGTAAAACATAGTCACACTTTGTTGTAATGTAAAATGTAAGCATCTCTGGTTGATGTGTTCCTATTGGGCTTCACAAAGGCTGAACTGGACGAGAAAGATCCATTTAACAAGATCGCAATTAGTTGGGATTCAGGTTTTCTTATTCAGTTTTAGAGATACGTATAGAGTCTATAGGTTCTAGAACTGCACTTGCTTGTTGATGGAGGAAAAAGAAGAAAACTCATCTTGATCAGACATTGTTCTTACCTTGGATCCTAAGAAACGAGATTTTCCTGCCTGCGACGTGCAGATCTCCTAAATAGATTACTAGAAGACTGATTTATTTATCTTCCTTTTTTTTTTTTTTTTTTTTGCATCTTCTCAGCTCTCAAATCAGGGTGTAATATCATAAAAAAATCTAGTCCATAATTGGAGTTGGCATGTTTTACAGAAGATACATTTGTTATTCTATTTGTATCTTATGCTGGTGCTTTTCATCCATTAGAAAAAGATGTCAATGAATTTAAGATAAAAAGAAGTTACTGCAGGGGGAAATCATATATGTTCATTTTTTTTTTACACTATGACTCATATTTCTAGTTTTTTCTAGTGGATCATAGTCTTTTGTTTGTTTGTTGACCATTCTTTTTGATTATTTGATGCAGACACTTGGAATAGGGCATGCCTTCTCTTCATTTATTTGGCTTTGTGGTCCTATTACAGGTCTTGTGGTAGGTGATGACAGCAACCTTGTTACAATTAGTATAATTTCCGGAATCATTAACATGTTCTCATCCTATATTGCGGGTGATACCACCTTATTTGATTTGGGATAGATTCTTTTCTCTGGAATGAAAAGGTTGAATTTGGCATTATAGAGGACAGTCATAGTTTATAACTTAGCGCCACAATTTATATTTGTGAATTTTTTTTAGCAAATACTATCTCAATCTCATCTTGTACTTTAACTTGACATAATGCTATACAACCCTTTCATTAAAAGAAAGAACTCCTAGTGAATGGATGTGAGCCTGTATGTGCATTTAAGCAATGGCTATATATTTTTCTGTATGAATTATTATGTAATCACTTCTTCCTCCTTTGCATCTCTGTGAAAATATTTATGTAATTCCACACCTATTTCTCTGCAAGTGAACATTTTTGGTTTGTATTTTGTAAGGAGGGAGACATTGTACATGTTTAAGGAAGTTTTGTTTTGAAATTGAGAATGGATTGTTGGCTTCAAATTTGAGTGAAAATTGGTGTGGAATTCCTATTAGAGAAGAAATGTGCTCTCTCGCAGCTCACTGACGGGCAAAAATGGGACAGTTCTTGGAATGCTTGGGTGATGAATTTGCTTGAAGAACTACTGGGAGCATGAAACAATCTATATGTTTTCAATCGTTCTCCGATATTCTGACAAGGGAGACATTGTACATGTTTAAGGAAGTTTTGTTTTGAAATTGAGAATGGATTGTTGGCTTCAAATTTGAGTGAAAATTGGTGTGGAATTCCTATTAGAGAAGAAATGTGCTCTCTCGCAGCTCACTGACGGGCAAAAATGGGACAGTTCTTGGAATGCTTGGGTGATGAATTTGCTTGAAGAACTACTTGGAGCATGAAACAATCTATATGTTTTCAATCGTTCTCCGATATTCTGACAAGGATACAGGAAATATGGAGAGGCTAAACTGAAATCAGTTATTCGCAAGTGATGATGTGACACTTACTGATTTAGTCAACTTTTCACTTGTATTTTGCACATGTAATTCTCTTTGATAAATCAGGCTATGTTTCGTGCATGGTTTATGAGGAATAGTTGGACGCCTACAACAAAGCCTGGAAGATGACATTGTAATTTTATTGTGTTACTCTTGATGTCAACCTTTCTGTTGATTTGATGCACATTTCTTTTTATTTGGGGTTTCCTTACATGGCCAGTAGATTCCATCCAAGCCGAAGTGAGAAGACAACTTATTGTGGCTTGGTTTTTGGTCTAGTTGTTCTTAATGCGATCATCCTTCTCCTCTTGTTCTATTCCTTCCCAAAAAAAAAACCTTCTCATAACTAAAGTATTTACCCCATCTTTAAAGCTAAACCATCAAAGTAAAAAAAACCCACTCACAACAAACTTTCTGTAGATTTTGGAACTTCTGTTGGCTTTATCCATGATTGAAAATCTGGTTGCTACACCCATTTTGTGCCTTTAATCACATATACTTCTTGAATGGTAGTGATGATCTTTTTGCTGTTCTTACATTTCATCCACCTTTTATCTAGTTCTATGCTGTTAGTTATAGCGTAATTTGATGTCCTTCTTTATTTTTTCCCTGTCTGTAATTGCTTGTCAATATGCATGTGGGCTGGAGGTTTATTTATTCAAATGCCTGAAGTTGAAATTAAGTTTAAAAATTTTAAATGTCTAATTTAAACTCAATTTGTCAGGTTTTGGTGACTATCTTTCTATTATTTTCTTATTTGTATTTCAGGTTCAACCTTGCGTTGGAATTTGGAGTGATAAATGCACTTCAAAGTATGGAAGAAGAAGACCATTTATTTTGGTTGGATCTCTCATGATCTCAGCTGCTGTGAGCATTACTGTATCTCATACTTGTATTCTCACATTTTGTACCACACTTCATATCAGCTAAAATAGATCTTGTAATATAGGTGATAATAATCGGGTTTTCTGCAGACGTTGGATACTTTTTAGGGGATACGAAAGAACATTGCAGGTTTCTGCTGTCTTCTAATCTCCTCCCTTTCTTTACTTACAACCTAGTTTTGTTTAACCAACTCATGCAAATGCAGCACATTCAAAGGTACTCGAACAAGAGCAGCTATTGTCTTCATCATTGGTTTTTGGATGCTGGATCTCGCTAATAACACTGTACAGGTAAGCTTCTTAAGAAAGTTACTTATTGCTATGACACAAGTTGAGGAGTTACTCTTGAAGTTATTGAAATATAAATAGTAAAATTTATTTGTTTGCAGGGGCCCGCTCGAGCTCTTCTGGCTGATTTAGCAGGTAAATTCCCTTGCCTCTCTTTGTTGTTTTACTCGGTTCAAGGCTTCCACCATGTAGATCTTCCATTAGCACATTCCTGATGCAAGATATTCTCTGTAGACTGCTAATGTCTTATTCTCTAATATAGGCCCTGATCAAAGAAATGTAGCAAATGCAGTATTTTGCTCATGGATGGCCGTTGGAAACATTCTGGGGTTTTCTTCTGGTGCTAGTGGGAATTGGCACAGGTGAATAGCTAGCGTGTAGTTTTGTTGTAATATGCCTATCATGTTATATGCATGCATGCTTGGTGTAGGAGTGTGTACCATAATTAAATCCTTTCATTATCAATTTTTGTTCTTAATGTTAAATCATCCTAACTTATCAACAGCACACACCACTGATACAAAATCGAACTAAAATCACAGAAAAGGAAAAAATGGAAAAAAAAGAAGCAGCCATTCTGCTTAAAAGAAATTTGCATCTTCAGTATTTTAAACTTGTTTTCTAATTTCTTTGCTTAGACTGTCTGGTTAGCCAATCCATCTGACAATTCTTCTTTTAGCAGATGGTTTCCTTTCCTGATGAGTAGATCTTGTTGTGAAGCCTGTGGAAATCTTAAAGCAGCATTTTTAATTGCGGTGGTAAGTCATTCACTGGCTTAGTGGTTCATACATACATGGAATTCACATTTGTCATTTGAGTATTTCCATAATCCCATGTTCGTATGGGTTCATGGTGAGAGATCAATCTGTTGTTTAATTTTTTTTTCTTGAATTGCTTGGCTTGGACTTGAGTATAGGAAAATGATTGAGTGGTCATGAACCTTGCTGGAAATGATTTATTAAAAACTTCATGCATCCAATGTTTAATCGCTCATGGGTGGCTACTAGCTGGATGTATCAGGCTGGATATCACTGGCTTGTAAGATAATTTTTGTGTTCTTAGATTATTTGTCTATTGGCAATTTCTGTTGTTTAGAATTCTTAGGAATACACTTTGAGAATCTTAGTGTAGCTCAATATTACTGAAGTAGTACACAGTATTCAAAATTTAGATGCATATTCTAATTCAGGGCTATTAACTTCAGGACTTACATCGAGTATCAGCCAATTAGATGCTAGCATGTTCTCCTTTGGTTGAGTCCGGAAACTTTTTATTGAACTTATGAACTAATCTTTTGTATGAATCTGTCCATTAGTTTCATAATTGATGTCTATTATGTATTTAATTGAATTTATTTACTTTTTCTGGGTTTTTAGCTGGGCATAAGCCACTAGCATGTATAATTTTGGCATTCTATCCAATTCTTTTTTTTGGTATGTATTCTGTGCAATTCTAACTACTTTATCTTGGATGTGGACAGGTTGTCCTGACTTTGTGCACCCTTGTGACTCTCTATTTTGCAAAAGAGGTTCCATTAACACCAAAGCAACCTCAACATTTATCAGATTCTGCTCCTCTCTTGAATGATCCACAGCAGATTGGATTTGACCTTTCAAACTCAAAAACTGATACACAGTTTGTTGATAATGCAATGGGGAACAAGTCAGCAGAACATGAGGAGGATCAGGGTGGGAGTTATAGTGATAGCCCTGGAGCAGTCTTGGTTAATTTGTTGACCAGCTTACGGCATTTGCCGCCGGGGATGCACTCAGTGCTTGTGGTCATGGCTCTTACCTGGGTAAATCACACATTGTTATGCATCACGATTTTGATTCAGTGCATTGTCCTGCCAAACTAGTCATAAGCTGTTTGCTCGTTCATACCTTGTTTCTTATCTTCCGATTCTGATGTTCTTAGTGATTATTTTACATGCAGTTGTCTTGGTTTCCCTTTTTCCTTTTTGATACGGATTGGATGGGGAGAGAGGTTTTTCATGGGAACCCAAAAGGGGATGCCTCTGAAGTTCAAGCTTATGATCAAGGCGTCAGAGAAGGTGCATTTGGTTTGCTATTGAATTCAGTAAGAACTCAAAATTGAGCATCACTAGTTTTACTTTTCATAAAAATATCCTGGGTAATAGAATCATAGTAAGGTTTTTATCAGTTGGTGGCATGGAGACTTTGGAATTGCATTCATTGTGTTGTGGTGATGAATTTATCTTAATGTACAATTTGAGCTTATACTTCTTTTGGGGCAGGTTGTTCTTGGCATGAGCTCTTTCTTTATTGAACCAATGTGTCAGCGGATGGGTGCAAGACTAGTTTGGGCAACGAGCAATTTTATTGTGTTCGTCTGCATGGCTGGCACTGCTATCATTAGCTTTTTTTCCATAAGAGAGTACTCCGAAGGTATTGAACACGTGATCGTAGGGAATGGAACAATCAAGATTGCCTCCTTGGTTGTTTTTGCTCTTCTTGGCCTTCCTCTTGCTGTAAGTACTACTCTTTTTTCTTTCCCGGTCAGTTTCATGTATTATTAAGATGGAGAGCAAGTTATGCTGCCCAGCTTATTTGTTTCCAGTCTGCATCAGAAGTTATATTTTTTGGGCATGAATTAACTGTACATGTCTTGCAGATAACTTATAGTGTTCCCTTCTCTGTCACGGCTGAGCTGACTGCTGATACAGGAGGCGGGCAAGGTTTGTGTGGATATATATTTATTTAGTCATCTCTTCTATATCTTTTTTTGTTACTTTGATGATGCTGCTTAGTTAAGATTCTGAAACAGTAGTACATCCTTTTCAGGATTGGCGATAGGAGTCCTAAATCTTGCAATTGTTATACCTCAGGTAGTTAGGTGCTATATTTTATTTTTTCAATTTTTTTCCCCCTTGTTACCATTTTTAATTCGTTTTATTTTTGATTTTTGGTCGTTTGTGATATTATTATGCTCTTAAATGTTGGCAGATGATACTAGTACTGTTTTCATTTCCTTTTCCCTCATGTACTTCCCTGTTCTGCCCAGATGATTGTATCCTTGGGTGCGGGTCCATGGGATGCATTATTCGGTGGAGGAAATATACCAGCCTTTGTTTTGGCTTCCTTGTCTGCTCTTGCTGCTGGTGTAATTGCAACTATCAAGCTGCCAAATCTTTCAAGCAGTTCCTTCAAATCAACCGGTATGCATTTTGGTTGACTTTCTTTCCTCAATTAGATCATGATCCACTTGTATACGTGCTATATTTCTTTCAGGGAGTTGTGGATTCCACACTCAAATTCATTCATTTTTTCCCCATATTTTTGGGACATATATGTAAGATATGGAGAGTGTAAATTTTTAGTGAACACTAAAAAGCATAATGATATATATAGTTTCAAGTTTCAACCTTAGCTCTCTGGTTCTTTTAGACGTTCAATCCTCATGTATTCCACCGTCGGACATCCATCATTTGTTGCTTTGTGGGTTGTTATAGCATCATATTTAGCAATGAGTCATCCCCTCCCTCCCATCCATCCATACATCCAGATATCGATCCTTTTAAATGACTAAATTCATTAAGGAAAACAATTGTGTTTTGGCTTATTACATGTGTTTGTGCCTGTACTAGACTATAGGATTTTGAAGTAGAAGCAATAGTTAGGGCGGATAATCGAGCCGAGTTACTCGGATTTGACTAGTTTTGAGTTTGGTTCGTTTTTTAAACGATTCGAATTGAAACATTTTTTTAGGTTCGTCCTAAACTTGTAAAAGTATATATAAAATAATCGAGTTACATAGTTCGGCATTTTTTGGGCTTGGTTTGGGCTAAACTATTTTAAAAATAAGTTTGAGTTCGCAAAGATCGACTCGAGTACCAGTCTTACCTAGGTAGACTATAGGATTTGTTAGTGTGTACCGAGTGGCACCTTGAGCCCCATTTTTGTGACTAATTGCAGTCCTCTATAAATTGCTTGTAAGGCATGCAATTTGATTTCTTTTTTAATTTTTTTATATGATAAGCGACAGTAATTCATTGAGAAATTTTCATTTCGAAAAATTCTGTTTTTTGAGGTGAGTGTGTGGGTTGGCTTCTCCAGTGCATCCTTCCATCCGGTCCCTCTAATCCAAATTGACACTTCATAACATTAAGGGCTGGTTTTCAAACTTGATTGCCCGTGAATTTTGCAGGGGACAACGTTAAAAAAACCATTACAATTGTCCTTCCGGTGGACAGTCATTATCAATGATCCATCTTACCTCGATAAAACTTTGTCACAATTATGTGAGATTGGATATCATAATCATTCCTTTCGAAATAATAGCTCGTGAATTCGAACCGAAAAATTAGTCTGGAGCCTTATGTACTTATGACGATGATGGATCCTTATAGATGACCCAAGTCCAATATAAAAAACTAGCAAGAAGTTATAGGAAAATATATATAAATGGAAAAATGCTTTTTTTCCAGAAAGCACAACAGAACCGGTGGTTGACAAATCACAATCAAGAGGGAGAAAGAAGGGTAGAGTGACGTCAAGAAAAGAAAGCACATGGGATCAGTTTTGAGCAGAACACCCCAGAAGCATAAGGGCATGTGAAGGAGAAGATTCAGCTCTTTTTTTTATTATGAAAATTCAAACAAGTTCATATGGCGGATCAAATGAACGAGATTTTTATTATTGTAGAATATGAAAAAAGATTAGATATACACAGTCTTATCCTTACAAATAAGTAAACTAACTCAAACCCGTGACCTTTAAATTACAATAAAATAATTTTCCTGTTACGCTAAGGCCTGTTCTGTTCAAATATATATATGTGTATAATAATAAAGTATACAGGAGTATAGATATGAGAAGAGAAGCTAAGAACATGGATCCACCCCATTCCAATGTAGTCAGGGGGTAACCCTTACAGCTTCCAACTAATAAAGTCATGTGGTGCAGTGAGAGTAGCTTGTCTTTTGCCCTATATAAAATCAGTGTAATGTGGGACCTACACTCTCCCTCTTATTCAAAAATATAAGATTGGTGGGTCCCATTGTTTACAATAGATCCATGAGTGACCATGACCCATCCCATTTTGGAATGAGAAAAAAAAAATCTGGTGTGAAAACTTAAATTTGTTAATATTGTACTAAAAAGGGTTATATTTGGGTCAAAGTTATAGATCATTAATATGTACATATTAATGATCCATCTTATATATCGATTCAATTGAATCATAATTTCACCTATTTAAATTCCAACATAATCTAATTCAATACCAACTTTTTTGTCGGTTACCAATAAATATTTTTCGAGGTAAAAAAAAACCCTTTTAAATCAAGCAACTTTATTTTCCCATCAAAATATACACTTGACACCTATTAATTTACCGAGCAATATTATTAAAATCTAATTTATTGATTTAATTCATCTTTGGATTGATTGTAGGCCATTAAAACATTAGAATTTGATGTTCATTTAATGGTTTCAATGAAATCATATCATTAAACTGATAAATTAGGTCAATTTTTTAGATCTAAATATCATTATTCTCCCGGTATATGATCCTCCAAAGTCCAATACCATGCTTGTCCCTCTTAGTGACTAAGGTGCATTAAATTTTGGATGAAAATGAACATTTGGATTAACGCTCCAAACTGTAATCTTGCTGTTTAGATCCATAGATAGAGGATTAAAGTCCAATGGGGGCTTAAGTTTTTTTTTTTTTTTGGGTCTATAATTCATTTTGGGGTATTACTTATCATATTTTCCCATCCTAGCTGGTGTCATAATAAATTCAACAGCAATGCTAATTAGACTGATCAAATTTTGAGATTAAATTTAGAACCTAAATAGCCGTGAAATTGCAGTCAGGTTTCATGATAGTGAAATATACAAACTGTTGCAGTCTATGGATATATTAGAAATCAGTGAGATTTGTACTAGAGGAAGGGGAGAGAGAGAGAGAGAGAGAGGACAGTACATAACCATTTGAGGGCTGTGGGAATGCAGAGATGAGCAGTAGGATAGAGATGGACATGAGGGGTACGAAGACAAAATACTCCAGCTTGGTAGGGTTACGAAAGAAGGCACTTGGCCTTTTCGGAAACTCTCTCTCTCTCTCTCTCTCTCAATCCCTTACCCTGTGCTGGGAAAGATAATATGGATGGGAAAGGGCTTCGTCCTGGTGCACATTACCTGTTGGTGGGTTAGGTGGCAACCTCTACCCCCTAATAGGGCCCATCCCTAAGATTCCTGCCCCCCCCCCCCCCCCCCCCTCTCTCTCTCTCTCAATGTAAACTCTCTAAGGACCTAAAAGAAATGTGCAGGACTTATAGAAATTACTATGAAATAATGATGATAACACGATTTTATCTTGTCAGATTGCTACAAAATGAGATTGTTTGAGATTGGTCTTACTATTTTAAGATCAATTTCAACCGTTTTGGAGTTCTAACGTGACCCATTGAATCATATGTGATTTTTTGAAGCATAACTTGACCACCTATGTCTTGTAACTATAGTCCCCATATATTTATCATTTTCAATATTGTCTCCCCCTTCTCTGCCTTTTTCTTGCCCAAAAGCTATAGCCAACTGATCACTTCTCCCTGAAGCTCAAGCAACATAAACTACAACACTTCCATAGTCTCTTTTTCTAAGTCATCCAAACTCTTTCCCTCCCAAAAGAACAACCATCTATCTCAAGGCTCTAAATGAGGAAAAACTATAAGGTATAACAATTACACCATGTTATTATGCTGATGTGGTCATGCACTATCCAATAATAAGATAACATATGGACAAGTGAATCTTACATAAATAAATAACTTGTCCACATGTTGTCTTAGTATTGGACGGTTACACCATGTCAACATAATGATGTGGTGGAACCGTTACACCCAATATTTTCTCTTAAATTAGGAGTTTCTCTTAAATTAGCCGTTACACACAATCACTCTAACATTTCCTTTTTCATTAAAGTCACCCACTTCCCATTTAAGATGGATATAATATGAACTCATTTTCTCTCCTTTAGCAAAAGAATCGATCTGTATCTGCTTGCTACCATTAAATTTATTCTTAACGACAACTGTCCATCTAGAAAATATTCAGCCCACACTATGCCACCTAATGGAAGAAAAAATTGGGACAAACAGATTTGAATGTTAATATATATATATATATATATCATACTCAGTGTACAAAACTCTTGTCATTGTATGATTTGGAGAAGATTAGATGTATGTAGTCTTATCTCTGTAAACAAAAAAAATTGTTTTTACCACTCGAACTCATGACTTTCAAATTACAATAAAACAACATTACCATTATTAAGGCAGGCCTGCCCTCGCACATCATATCATATATATATATATATATATATATATATATATATATATATATATATGTAAATACTTATTGAATTGTAACCAAGTGAAACTTGTAAAGATCCACTTCATAGAAACAGAAAGAGCCCTCTCACTCTCTTGCTCTCTCTCTCTCTCTCTCCACAAATGGATATAAAAGAAATAATCTCTTATTGGGAGCTGATAAGGTATATAAGCTGTCATCACAACAGTTTATGCATCTCTTTCAACTGACTTTTTTTTCTCTTAAGTCGCTTAGTTCCTTCTATCACACAAAAACCTCTCCATCCATAGTCTGTATTAATCTCTCTCCCATACCCACCACCCAAAATATGAAAGCCAGATCACTACAATAGTTCTTTGGATCGCTGGTCTAAAGTTTGGTTCATGAATTTCATTGGAATGGCCTTCTTTCCCGCCAATTTTATGCTACAAACTAGGCATGAAGATGATCAGCAACCTCCAACCTCTCTTAGTCCAATTCTACACTCATGCACTCCACAAGACTTCCATGGTTCTCTCTCTCTCTCGCTCTCTCTCTCTCTAAATGAATATGCTGGATACCCTTTTGTACTTCAAAGGGATGGATTTGAATATTTATGTTGATGCAGGTGTTGCCTCACTTCTAGGGAAAAGATCTATGTCCTTCTCAGGCATTGATCTTTGTGAAGAACATAATGGAGATGATGATTTATCTGACGATGGGTCACAGGCAGGAGAGAAGAAGAGGAGGCTTAACATAGAACAAGTGAAGACTCTTGAGAAGAACTTTGAGTTGGGCAACAAGCTAGAGCCTGAGAGGAAAATGCAGCTGGCTAGGGCTCTAGGTCTGCAACCAAGACAGATTGCTATATGGTTCCAAAATAGGAGGGCAAGGTGGAAGACAAAGCAATTGGAGAAAGATTATGAGGTGCTTAAGAGACAGTTTGAAGCAGTCAAAGTTGAAAATGATGCCCTCCAAGCTGAGAACCAGAACCTTCAAGCAGAGGTGTGTTCATATCAATAATAATAATATTCAGAATTTATTTATTGGTATAATCCATTTCAACTATTAGATCTAGTGGACACTTTTTAATATTAAAACTTGTTGTTAATCTAATATGTACAGTAAATTATATTCAAATAGTATTACTCAGTTATGAATGTGTTTATTGGTTTGTTAAGATTGCTTGTTTAAAGGAGAGATAAGTATCCTTTTGATAGACTTCTTGGACCAATATTGTTGCATGTTTTTCACCAAGTCATAATTTCTAAAGTTTTACCTTTTTTTTTTTTTTTTTGGGGGGGGGGGGGGGGGATTATCATTGATTGGTAGATCATGGTCCTTGAAGCAAAGCAGTTGTCATTACATTGAAAAACAAAAGATCCATTGCACATATATATTTGCCTAGTTCCAATCTTATTTTATGCCTATATTTATGATCACTGGGTTTGCTTTTTCATTTGTGTTTTTCAATTGAATATATGTGACAAACATCTAACCCAGTAGTTGCAGATACTGGCACTTAAAAATAGGGACTCAACTGAATCAATCAACCTCAACAAAGAAACAGAAGGTTCTTCCAGCAACAGAAGTGAAAACAGCTCTGATATCAAACTAGATATCTCAAGAACACCTGCAATTGACAGTCCTCTACCTACCATTCCGACCAGCAGACCCCTCTTTCCATCGTCCATGAGGCCTACCGGTGTCGCCCAACTCTTTCAGAACTCATCAAGATCAGATCTCCAATCCCATAAGATTGATCATACAGTTAAAGAAGAAAGTTTTTGCAACATGTTCTGTGGCATTGATGAGCAAAACGGATTTTGGCCATGGATAGAACAACAACATTTCAATTGAATTTGGCAAGTATTTCAGTGTTTAGCGCGATTCGGGTGAGATTAATCCAGAGATCATCACAATGTTTTATGACTTTTTAAATTCCTGTTTTGGTAATTAAATTACTATTGCATGTGTAAAGTAGCAAATTATAAGTTGAATGTAAGGTGGGCTTTTCGAGATCTTTATGAAAAAAAATAAAAATAAAGGGGTATATGCCTTTGCTTTCAATACCATGTTTTTCAAACTTAAATAGATGTTTGTCAGTTGGGTCATGGAGAAAATGTTATGTTTGATTTTGATATGCAAGTGGTTTCAGCTCTTGCATGGACCATGAAAAAAAGGGATTCTGTCCTTACAGTACTGATCTCTCTCCTTTTTTTTTGCTTTGAAATCTTGTCAATTGTACTAGCAAATTTAAGTGATAATATAGATGAACTGTAAATTCAAATGTTTTACGTTTGAATTTTTACAATTTCTTAAGGTCAAGTCATGAATGATTTATTCTTTATGAATATTCTAGTTTCGACATGAATGATCTATCTTTGATCAGAGCGGAAAAAAGAATAATCAAAATGTGCGTAAATTAGCCCAAATACATCTGGTCGTTATAAAAAAAAATGCTAGCAATTGTGATCATTTTTCTGTCTTTAATAAAATTTATGACTTAAGGCTGGTTAGTTACAATTTAATGGAGACCAAGTTACAACTGAAATAGATTAAGTTACGGTTCAAAGATTAGTTCGATCGATCACATTAAATCGTAAGTTTCATCACAATACTACAAAGTAACTTTTGGTGTGATAGTCGTAAGATTCACATTAAATCATTTTTTTCTGTTTTCAATACTGATCAGCAAACAAATGGAAAATATAATTAAGCAAAGTGATTACTTGCAGTAACCAGTTACTGGACAGTGGTGAACAAAATCTACTTCAAGTTAAATAAAAATATAAGTTTCTAGAGAGAGAGAGAGAGAGAATCAAGCACACATTCCAAGAGGGAAAGACGACAAACAGATGGAAGAGTAGAAGAAAACAAGGAGGGTTGGAAATGGTCATTCTCGTGAAGTGGACATTGGCAAAGTTGTGCTGACAATTGACAAGGAATGGGCTCATGGAATCAAAAAAAAAAAAGAAACACACTTATACCCCCCCCCCCCCCCCAACCTTTTTTTTTGGCACTTGCTTAAGAGCTTACTCTGCACTCTTATTTGGAATTTTGATGGCACCAGGAAAGAACTCATGTGACCTATTGTCTGTCACCCACTCCCCTAGCATCCAACATCGAAGCCTCGATTTTTTTTTTTTTTCTTTCACTTCGCTTTATTAGTTGGGCCCACCTTTCATACATCTCCTTTTACACACCAATTCAAAGTTCGCACTCGGTAAGTCAGCATTGATCAACCTCACTTCACTTCCACATTGAAGGATAGATAGGTTGTTCAGTCAGAGTTTTTCAACACTCGGATTGTGGTTGGCCAAAAAATCACAAGCCATTTAAACTTGAATAGTTCCTGAGTTGGGGTCTCGGGTTTTCGAAGTCCAAACCGATTCAAACCACACTAACGAATGGGAAATGAGTAACTAAACCCAAATTTCAACATAAAAAAATGAAACAGTTTTCAATCTATATTTTGTAACTTGAGTTTAAAATCTTAAACATGGACCATATTAGCGTTCATAACTTGGGTTGAATTCGAGTTTGAATCGAAGGTAAGTTGAAGTTTTATATCTTTGAGTTGAGTCAAATTTAAATTCTTAAAAGAGCGATCCAAAAAAAAAAAGGCAGCAATATAAAAAATTAACGCAGACGAATTTCTAAGGCAAAAGAAGTATTAGCGTCAGAAATAAGAGCTGAAGTAAAAAACATCGAATAATGTATGAAGAGGTGATCCCCGAAGAACATAGAGGGTTAGCTCTCCAAATCATTAGCGCTGACATCTCCTATTCCATGAACTGATGTTTTCTATCAAACTTGTCCACTTGCATGGCTTGGGGCAATGGTACCATTTTTTTCTATTATGATATGCCTATCATCCGTCTTGATTCATCGAAACAATTTTTTTGAATACGAATACAAATAAGTCTATGTATATCTGACTATTTTAAGACATACACTGTCAAAAAGCTCGTTTACCGCCTACCCCTTTTTGATGTCAAATCACGTCCATTTATAGTGTTGTCCTATATATAATAGTTAAAGATATTAGTAATTGATGTGAAATTAAATAAACATTGTTATATAATGACATGATGTTAATGGAAACTTTTCTATCTGTATGTAAAAAAGTTGTTTGAACCAAAAGCAGCCCTTGATCTGTGGGCGGACATTGATCTTCTCTTGCACAATCTGTATCAAAGAACACAGTTTCATCTAAAACACTAGTAGTTTTACTTCAAACAATACAAAATATAGTCTCAAAACAGGGATAAAACTGTTTTATTCTAGTTTTTAATGTATTAGACTGCAAATATATATATAGTGATAGTGATGAATTGCATGGATTTATAGTGATGGCCCCATTGAGAATCTGAGCACTTTCGTTCCCTAAAATATCAGTGAATTATTATCTGACCACTTTTCTCCCTCTAAAAAATTTGTTGGACAAAAGAAGATGTCTGCCAAGTTTGTAAAACAAAAGAGCAGTTGTCCATTCAGTGGGTGCACCTTCATTGGACCATGCAAAACAATCTCAAATCAATTTGGATTGTTTACTTCAAATACACATTAATTCAACCAAAACAGAAGTAATGTTTTGGCTTAAAACGTAGTCTTAAAGCAAGACTAACAAATATGATTCTCATATGTATATCGATACATAGCTGACCTCAAATAATTTAGACAAAAGACTTAGTTTTGTTTGATTTGATTTACTCTGCGGTGGAGTTTGTTTTCTAAATTGGTGTTATTGTCTTGGAAAATTATATTGTGTTTGTTTGAAATGACAAATGTTTACGGTTCACGTTTCTCTACATAGGCTGTTCACCCGAGCTGATGGATAAGAAATATTGTATTCCATTTTTTGAGATGATGCCTTGTGGAAGATCAATTTCTTGGCCGACTCTACCTGATCGAGGATAATGTTCTGCCGAATTCCATCCAAAAAAATCGACTTGGATTTCAGGTAAGATTGCGAAATATTCAAATGTAGAATATATCACATATTTGTAATTTTTTAGTTTAATTTTTGAATTATTTTAACAATTCAATTGAATAAATTTTGGCCTACTTTTACAATTAGGCTGTTAAAATATAATATAATAATATATAAACCAAATATTTTTTTTAAAACAAATATATTTTTTTAAAAAATATAAATATACATGTGAGCTGAATAGGAATGCGATTATAGATATTTCGCATTTCTACCCGATTATTTGCCAAATACTAAAATTTGTTCCATAAGCCGAATAATCAGGTCGAGTCGAGATGGAATTGTTCGAATAGGCAAAAATTTGAGCACTCCTAGATTCAAAAGAATGTTATCAAGTCTCTCGAATTGTGAAAGTAAATTCTATCATGTAGACTAAGAATAGTGTATGGTGGGAGGAATTGTTCAAAGAGCATGCTCAATGTAGTCTTATTAAAGAGGGTATTAAAATATCTTGTTATCTTTCGAAACAATTTTTTCCTGGAATTTTTCTTTCTGAAAGAACAAAATTGCAATTCTAGTAAATCATGCCTTCAATGGTACAAATGGCAGAAAGTAGCTTATTTTCCTCAGCAGTTCAGACCCTAGAAATAGATATATCTTGTGGTTGACACCAAGACATTTTCTTGTAGAGAGAGAGAGAGAGAGAGAGAGAGAGAGGGATCAAAATCTAATGTCATGTGATCATAGACCTCCTCACTGATTTTACAGTTGTTTGCAAAACTGTCATAACAGATAACTAGATTCAAATACTTAACAACCCAATTACAACAACAACCAAACAAGCATGTGGCAAAATCTGAACATACAAAGCCTTATGAATATCCTTCAGTTAAACGAAGATCAAGCTCGTAAATCGTGCTTTACTATACTTTTTAATGTTGGACCATGTGAAGAAGGAATAGATAATTAAGCTTTGGCAGCATGGCTATTGAAACTTTGGCATTTGATTACAGTTCTAGATACCGATCGAAAGATTTAGTTTCCTAAACAAATGTTTAGTGGCAAGATTAATAGTAATAGATTTGAGTAGAGCATGTCAAGTGGACATGTGGTTAGTGGATTAATACACATTAAATAAGAATTAAACAGTACTTAGCAAAACATATTTGCAATATGATAGTAGTTGAATACGAGATTTCCCGCCCATGTTCATGAGAAGAAGAGGACATGTCACATGTGGTGGGCAATAACATAGGGTATTATTGCATTTGTTTATGTTTGAAATAATTGCATTCAGGGACGAGTCAATCTTGGACCATGCTGGGCACATGCCCATCCTCAATTTTTTTTTTTATTTTAGATATATATTTTTTAAAATAAAATTTAGACATATTTAATTGTGTTTACCCTCAAAAATTTTTTTTTTTTTGACATTAGATATATACATTTCTATTATTGTGTTATTGTGATATCGATTAAGATAAACCATTACCTAAATAATAATTAATTTTCAAATAATGTTATTGGGACATAATACATGGTGATATTAAATCTAATAGTGAGTTTCTACATTTAATAACGTCAACTTTCCATCTAATAATCACAAGTCATTGGGTTCCTACCATTTAAATTTCAAAATTTTGTTTGGTCAAGATAAAAAATTAAATTTCGAATTAGATGCAACTACTATTATTCTTAAATTTTTAGACATATTTCGAACATGTTCGAATAATATTTAAACATATCGTTGTCATTTTTCTAAATTAAAGATTATTTGTTATTGTATAGAAATGAGCGTCATTATGTAATAAATTACAGGGTAATAAACGAAAAATTATTATTACCATTTTGTATATAAAAAATATATTTATTGATATCATTGTTTTGTAATACTTTTAAATGATAAAAAATAATTAGATTTAATCGTAAAATGATAATAATTAGTCTCGTACGAAGTTTTAATTAATTTACTTTTATTTTTTGTTTGTTCATTCCATGTAAATCGTTTTTTAATTTTTTATGTATAAGGAACTTTTACATATAATTATAGTAAATATGAATTTATAAATTTTTGTGATCAATTGAAAAGAATAAAAAAAATATTATTTAGATCTAATTTGATGATATAATTCAATACAATATTTTGATTGAAAGTGGACTTCAGCTAATAGTGAAACTTACAACTAAAATAATAGTTACATTGAATTAAGTTTCTATAACATTGATTAAAAAAAAAAAAACTCATTAATGTGTCTATCCTAACACAGTCAACCCTACTCAAGATTATTTGTGGGAAATTGGGCCAGCCCACAAGCCACCCAAAGGATAATGTCTTTTGAATCTTGATTTCCCTTACAAAACCTAAACTTTTTGGCTAATTGTACATTCATTCAACCATTAGATAATTCAAAATATGTGAAAGAGAAACCATTCCAATTCAAAAATCATGAAATGTAACTTGTTTCCAAAAAAAAATGCACCAACAATAGCATGAAATTTAGCATACTTTTTCGACATCTTAAATTCGAACACACGACTTTAAAATCTAATATCAGAGTGGTTACCACCGCTAACCTCACAATGAAAGAATTCATACAATTATATCCAACAAGTTCCATAAGTTACAGTTATTTTGTGTAAACTATACAACCAATCCCCCTCCCCTCCCCCTCCCGAAAGAAAAAAAAAAACCAAGAAAAATTACCAAAAAATGAAAAAATTATCAAAAAAACCATGTTGAAATTTTCAGTAAAGACTGGCCAATAAGGTGCCACGCACACACTCCTCTCTAGCCACTGAAAATTGGACAGAGAGAACCCAAAACTCTTCAGCTAACCCAAGTTCACCCGTAACGGACAAACCATGGCCATGGCCACCACCATCACCACCTCAATTCTCTCTCCCACCGCCTCTTTGACCCACCAATCTGTCCAAATCACCCCCAAACTACTTTTAACCAAACCAACCTCCAAACAAATTCGACCAATCACAAAGCTCCAGGTGTCCTCGAAACCCACCACCAACCCTGCCACCACCACCTCCACCTCCACCTCCACCTCCACCTCCACCTCCAAACCAATGAAGAAACTATATTTTTCGACGGTGGAGCCCACTATGGTGACCTGGTAGCAAACCTCTTTCTGGGTTTCACTCTTCTTTGGTTGCCTCTAACTTTAGCTGCTGTTTTTAGGGCCTTTTATCTTAGGTACAGGTTCACCAACTTGAGGGTCACTGTTATTTCTGGGTTAACAGGCCAAGATAGGAGTGATTTTTCTTATAAAGTTATCAAAGATGTTCAGGTTGTGCCTAGGTTTATTGGTGAGTGGGGTGATGTAATCGTTACTTTGAAGGATGGTACTAAGGTGGACTTGAGAAGTGTTCCTAAGTTTAGGGAAATTGCTAAGTACTGCCAATCCATGGCTGAAAAGAATGTGGCTTTAAAGGAAAGTGACCCGAAAGGTTTTTAAGGGATTTTTTTTTTTTTTGGGTGTGGTTTAGTGCATTGTTCTCTTTCTCAAAGAGGTATGCAAATTTTTGTATAAGTTCTACTTTAGTGAAACATTGTAATTGTTTTAATTGTTGGTAAGAAGCTACAAAGATGGTTAATTTGTTGATAAATTATGCATTATACTTGTTCTTGTATAGAATTTAGTCATCGGTAAGATGGGATTATCTTTGTTTCTATAAATTTTAGATCCCCTTGGTTTCCCAATGTTTGTTGTTGGCAACTAAGGTAGAATTTATTTTTGGCTGCATATGGAACGCATGAAACTGATGCTCGAGTTTCTTTTCGCAGTTGATATAAGTGATGGGAACAACTTCCATGTCCTTTTAATTGGCAGAAAGTCTAATTGGAGAGTGAGTAGATTGTAGTTGGCAATCACATTGAACCCGCGATCATATGACTGACTGAAAATTTTTCAGATTACTAGGTGACAATTGAAGAGTACATAAACAAATGTCGTCAAACTTGTAAGGATGGAATTTGTCAAAAAAAATTTACATGCTTTGTGAAGCACTAGTTTGAAAGCTGATGATTCCCTAGTTTGACAACTATATGGTCAGTTTGATGTACCTTTTGAAATATGAAGCTTCATGACCTGACATTCAGACAAAACGTTGAGTGTATAAAACAAATACTTCAACCTATCAGATGGTTTTGGATTTCAATTGGGAGTAGAATTCATTCATGCTTGCAAGAGCTTAGACTTATTAGGTCTGCTATCTGTCCGGTTGCAGGACAACATAAATATTCGAAATGAAGCTTCCAGGAAGCTTGTATGTATTTGGAAGTAATGCACTGAAACATGATAGCTGTTGGCTTTGAGGAATATCACTTGGTCACCTCAGATATGCTTAAGGCAAAATCCTTTATCAATCACTGAAGTAGGATTTTGAATCATTTGATTAGGGTTTTGATCTGGGTCTTTTCCAACAGATTTGAATCTTAGTCTCCCTGTTATAAATAGGGATGCTGAAAGGAATCAATGAGAAAATAAGAGGGTGTTGGCTGAAGAAATCTGTTGTTTTGAAGCTATGGGGGATTGTAATTAAAATTTTGATTATGTTAGGGGCAGATTGATGCCAATCATGCATGTATGAAAAGTATAAAAGCAGGAAGGAGGCCAGAGCATGGGCCTCCGGGTGTAATTCAAACTGAAAGTGACCAGCTTGGCTGGGACACCATGGGACTATCCTGGTTATATGGTCCTCTCAATTGTGGAATATTGAATTCTTGAGGGGGATCAAGACCACACATGGTACCTGGGGCTTTCCTTTTTTGTTTTTGTGCAAATTTGTATGCTTTGTGCAGTACCGACTTTGAAACTTCATGACCTGACAGACTAGGCATGCAGTGAATAAATCCTGATGCTTCAACCTCTTAGTCTAGTATATTGCTGAAAGAAAGTATACTCTAGGGATGCTATCTTTCAAATTGCAGGACAAGATAAATATTTGAAACGAAACTCCCAGGAAGCTTGTATGTATTTGCGTGTACTGCACTAAAATCATAGCTGTTGGGTTTGAGGAATATCACTTAGCCACCTCAGATATTCTTAAGGTACAATCCTCTGTGAATCGTTTCTCAATCATTGAAGCGTCACTTGCAGAATCATTTGATTGGTTTTTCATTTGAGTATGTGCCAACAGATTTGAATTTCAGTTTCCCTATTGTAAACAGATGCAGAGAGGAATCAATGAGAAAATAAGATGGTGGTGGGTAAAGAAACATGTTTTGGACCTTAGTCAGGATTGTATTTAAAAATTTGATTATGGTTTAGTATGGAGGGAAGATTGATCCCAATCATCCATGCATGTATGAAAAATATGAAAGCAGGAAGGAGCATGTGTTGGTTTTTTGTGGAGTCTAGTTTGTATATGTGATCTGGATAATGACCCGATCCGAAGGAATGTTGCATGATTTTTTAATGAGAAATTTTATGAGGCTTAGTCCATGGAGTGAAGGCTTGGACCGATAGGCCCAAGCCGCTACGCTCATGGACAAGTCTTGTGGGGGGAGAAAAATTTTTGGGCCCGTTATATAGCCCAGTGCATAGGACATATAAAACTCGTTGTTTTGGTGATTAGGGTTAATATGGTGGATTGTACAGCCGCTCTCTGTATTCAACTCTCTCAATAGTGAAATTCCTGTAATTTCGTGGATGTAGGCAAATTGTCGAACCACGTCTGTGTCTTGTTCTTTCTTATTTCTTATTGTTTTATATTTTTAATTTGTTCTTCGATTGTGTGTGTTTGTTAATAGATTTAAATCGTGTTAAATCCCAAGAGTATGGGCTCTCGATTGAATTCAAACTGAAAGTGACTAGCTGGGCTATGAAACTATGGGGCCACCCTGGTCATATGGACCTCTTAACTATTGAATTCTGATTTCTTCAGGGAGATCAAGACCACACATGGTACCCGGGGATGCCATTTTTGTGCAAAGCTTCTTGAGCATATGTAGCTGCAATGTTATGAGTGAAAGTTCCTGGTTGGTGTCAGAGGAAAGTACATCAGCATGAACTCTCAGTTTGTGTCTGTCATTGAGTTCCCCTTGGGGTCCACAAGGCTTGGAAGGGAATCTACTATTATTAGACTGACATGGACTTCATTTAGCAATCAAAAATCACCTAGCCACTTCAATTGTATATAAGGTATGGATTTTCTACTGATGGTAATCACACCGAAAGCTATAACTAAATCTGGTCAACCTACAATTCAAATAGGTCAATTTATGAGTTCATAAGATCAAGTTAGGATGGAATCTCACAAGTTTTATAGTTGTTTCTCTCTGCCTTCCCTTAGGAGTAGGCGAAATTCATTGATTGTTCAAAAAATGAAAGGTGGAAGCATTTCTTGATCTCTTTTAATAAATCGATCAACCTCACCCTACCTATGGTTTGTCTGCCATTGGGTTTGAGGGTGGTGAAATTTGCAGAACCCCTTTTACGTGGCATTATTCATCTGCATAAGGCCAGCAGGGAGGCCATGACTACACTCATGCAGTTTTTTTCCCCTTTCTTGTGCCAAAAAAAAAAAAAACCTTTAGACATGGATGAAGATTTTATAAGATTGAACAGTTCCCCATCACAGGATTTCTGCTTTCATATGGTTGGTGCTGACAGTCTTTTAGTCCCATATAATGCTTATTGATGAATTGTCATCCCAAGTACTCTGGCAGAAAAGAATCAAAAGAAAAACAAAGAAAAATGGGCCAACTTAAAGCCTTAAAAGGAGCTAGAGCTGGGGTTACTTGCTCATGGAGACTTTTGACCAATGCTTAGTGCCTCTATTTTTTTGCTGTTGTTTATGCATTTTGCTCAGAAAAGCATACTTAGCATGGCTTTAGGAGAAATTGAGAAAGAGTAAGAGGTGGTGTCTAGTCAGTGGCTGTGGTAGATGAGATTGGTCCATTTAGGTAAGCTCTTCTGTAAATAGCATCTTTATTGAAAGATGTTAAAAGATAGCTAGAGAGGCCCAAGTGTAGAATGGCAGGATGTGTTTCATCCCCATCCCCCCCCCCCCCCCTTCTCTTTCCCCCCTTTTGCAGGCTCTTTTTAACAAATTTCTCCTTTTCAGAACTAATCAACATGAACCATTCATATGAATTTAACAGGTTCACCTCATTGGATTTTAAGTGGTTGTAGGTTATGTCTATGTAGATGCAAGTGATTGTGTGTGCTCTGTTTGTGTGTGTGTGTTTTTGGATCCTTCTTTTTTTTTTTTTTTCTTATTCAACTGTACTAAAACACGGCTTTGGCCAACTAGATGTGTTATTGAAAATTGGATTTTTGGGGGTCTAACAAATTTACATAATCTTATGGGGCATGCAATTATATATATAGCAATTCAACATGCTATACAGGCCATGTTGTTGTAGTAAATTTGCTCTATTTTGATGTGGGTGTCGAACGTTCGAGTTAAGAAATCCTGAAGTGGCGGGAGAATTGTGCATAGACTGATTTTTTTATCTTAATATACTATAATGGCAGGAAATGCAGGTAGTGGAGCAATACCACATTATCTAGTATAGAACTTGGTTGGAACAGGGTTTTGACACAGAGATACACTGTATGATACGAAAATAACACTCACTCATTCTACACTCTTTGTTCTTCTTCAATTACTTTTCTTTATCTTTGAGCAGGATTTAGAAAACCTCAATATTATCATCCAAATCGCAAAGAAAACATACTTGAGCTAAAATGCCGTGCCTGCAGAACTTAATCAACTTTGCTACAATGGTTTTTATGCTTTCTGGCGTTTATTAATGTGCACATATTCATCCACATCATTCAAAATTTCTTTACTTTTTCGACCAAAGAACCTGAGAAAATTATGGACATAAACGGACCTAATATATCATAGCAAAACAAACTAAACACATGACAGTGATGATATGTAGGAATCTAGTCAACAGAAAAGGGTTACAACACTCTAAGCCAATTGATGGGAATATGAATGGGGCATAGGATTCCCAGAAAATCTTCTTTTTTATATGACAGCGTCCTTTGCAGAAAAGATAAGAGGGGGGGTAGAAAGTGAGTGATGTGAAAATCAAAACACCTTATGACCTCAAAAAGGTAGCTCTAATGTCACAAAGGGTGCCCACAAGGATTTAGGATTCCCAAGCAAACAAACCCTACATTTCACATAAAGCTTAGAAATAGAGAAGATAACAATAAGATGAGCTGCATTTCTATTCCTCACGTGGGGTCTTTAAATTGTTTCTTTCTGCATGGGACCAAGTGATTTTCAATCGTATATCTCGTATATTTGCTTTATTTTTCACTCGTATTCGATTTTTTTGTTTCGCATTATGTGCTCTAACATAGAGGTTTTATACGGAAGGACATTAATGTAGCAGTATCGGGTTTTTTTTTTGACATGGGTGTCAAGTGTTTAACTCCAAATATAGTCTCTCCATATGCAGGATAACTCTATGTAGACTTAACTTGACAATGGCACGGGCACTTGGTTGTCCTTTAACATAAGATAAATGGTTTGTGAGTATATATATTGTGTTCTTTTTCACTCTAGACAGCCATATATAAAAAAAAATTGGGTAAGTGAGTAATATATAGCATTTGAAACAAACTGTTAAGGATGATTATCTGTAAACTGTAAGTATAATCCCTCAGGTATACATTAAAATTTCAAAATTGTTCACAGAATACTTATGTATAGCTTTATACCCTATGCTAATGCTAATGCAATGCACCTTGCACACCTTTATATATAGAATATTTTCAAACTGCCTTAAAAACAGTTGTAATCCAACTCATCACTCATCAGCCAAATGTGAGAGAAAGGAAGAGAGAGAGAGAGAGAGGCAACGCAGACAGGATACATGTTATAGGCTCTCTGAAAAAACAAAAACACGAACAAAGTTAAGAAGAAAAGAACAGAAAGTGGTTAGTGATCTTTGTTTTGCCTTGTTAAATTTTTGTTCCACATCGAACATTATTTGGAGGGTAAAAATAATCCCTTATTTTTCTTCCATTCCTACCCAATACTTTGCGAAATAATTTTTTTTGGTCTACCCTATCCGATCAAGTATGGTATTCCTACCGACTTCCAACCAAATTAATCGGGTGAACACTTTTGTAGTTATTAATTTTTGAATCATTTTAATAATTCAATTAAATAATATGTACCAATTTAACAACACAATAAACCAATAACACTAAAACTTAAAACAATTACAACAATAATTACAATAAAATACAATAAAGCATAAACATCAATCAATCATAATTATTACACAAATACAATAACAATTATTTTAAGTTTAAACTATATGGTTAGAGAATTCGGGTTTTTAGTTTATATATATATATATATATAATGCATATAGGGTAGGATAGGAATACGGAAATTAATGGTTATTCTGCGTTCCTATCCAATTTAATCGGAAGACCAAAAACTCTTCCGTATTCTTACTTGATTTTTTCGGCTAGCCGTTCAATAAGGTCGGGTAGGGTAGAAAATTACGACTAATCAAAAATTTGAACACCCCTAATCATGATCTCCTCCACCTTTTTATAAGTCCAACTTGATTTAGCCAAAAAGAGATAGTTAGGGGAGCGCTAATTAGACTGCTCGCGGGCCTCTTATTTTAGACAAAAAGTAACAATTAGCCTTTCGTAAATTGCTTATTTCACAAACAAGAAGAAGAATTAAGGTGTGGTCAAGCAAGAATGGAACACCTTTTGCATTGTATTCTTTAGAAAAGGCA